TTTTTGCGCCCCGGGCCTCTAGTCCTATATAATAAAAGGCTGATATGCAAATCGACTGAATGGGGAAATGACTGGTCGCTATGACACGCACTGACCACCAGGGGGCAGACACTCAACACAGGAGCTTCCCCTGGTGGTCAGTGCACTCCCACAGGGGGAGTTCTGCTCAGCCAGAAGCTGGGCTCATGGCTGGTGAGCGCAGTGGTCTCCCACCACCGTGGCAGTGCTAAGAACCCCTTGGGGGATGTCCACGACTGCCAAGCGGACATCCCCTGAGTGGTCCCAGGCTGAGGGACCCCCCCCCCCTCCAGTGCATGAATATCGTGCACTGGGCCTCTAGTATGAATATTGGCTGGTGAGCGCAGTGGTCTCCCACCACCGTGGCAGTGCTAAGAACCCCTTGGGGGATGTCCACGACTGCCAAGCGGACATCCCCTGAGTGGTCCCAGGCTGAGGGACGCCCCCCCCCCCTCCAGTGCATGAATATCGTGCACTGGGCCTCTAGTATGAATATAAGTTCTTTGGTTAATCTCTTCCCATCCCCTCTGCCCCCTTCCCTCTGAGATTAGCTTTAGAATCTATATATATAAAAAGCCAGCGGCCAGAACGACCAGTCGCTATGATGCCCACTGTGGCCAGCGAACCAGCCCAATCAGGGGTGGGGCTGGCCGGCCAACCTCCTGCAGCCCCACCCCACATTGGCCCCCCCACCCTAATTAGGGGCAGGGCCCACTGCCCAACCACCCATGGCCCCTGCCCCAGGCCACTGGCCCCTGATCAGCACCTGCCACCCCATTTGGGGTGGGCCAGCTGGCTCACTGCCCACAGCCCCTCCCCATAGCTGGTCCCGCCCCCAATCGGCCCCTTAACCCCAATTGGGGGTGGGGCTCGCCAGCCAATCGCCTGCGGCCTCTCCCCCAGCTGGCCAGACCCTTATCGGGGCCCCAATCAGGGCGGGTCAGCCAGCCAACTTCCCGCCATCTCCTTCCAACAGGCTCAGCCCCAATCTGCCCCGATTGGGGCCGGGCTGGCCGGACCCTACCTGTGCATGAATTCGTGCACTGGGCCTCTAGTTTAGACATAAAATTTGAAAGTGGAAAAAGATTTAGAAACAAATTAACCATGCTCAAATCATGACTATTTTATGGTCTTTACAGGTAGGTATTTTAGATCAGGAATGCATTAAATAAATGAGTTCTTTTTAAAAAAGGGAAAAAAAGAAATTGACTAACTTGTCATTTTTACTTGAATAGTATTTTGAAGTCACTAATATATTGGATTAAATTTTTTAAATGAATATGTAAAGCATCATAGCTGATAATGCTGTTTGGTTTACCTGGATGTAGTTTCCAAATTTAATATGGAAAAATCTTGTCTTGTATTTTAGGGTTGGATTAGTAGAATCTAAAATCCGTGTGCTTGTTGGAAATTTGGAACGGAATGAATTTATTACTCTTGCCCATGTAAATCCCCAGTCATTCCCAGGAAATAAGGAACACTATAAAGAGTGAGTTAATTATTTTTTAATATTATATTTTTAAAATAATGTTATTTGACATATGCATTGTTTAAGATGAGTTGTGAAACTGTTATTTAACAGGCATTGCTGGGGGATGATACATTATGTATTTGAGTAGTCATTCATTAAAACAAAGTACATGCTATGTTGGTAGCCCATAGACCCCAGCAAAAACTCCATCACTATATTTGGGGCATCTTTAAATATATATTCAGTATGTCATTTTCAAAGCCATTTAATCCTTTTAACAAAACAGTGTAATTTACCAGTGTTCTTGGCATCAGTTTTAAGAATTTGGCCAAACGATTGAAATTTGTATTTATACTTTTACAAAACCCCAAGTTTTTAAATTACCAAATAGCATTTATAAAAGTGTAAAGAATTAATGGAAATTTTAAAAAATTTTTTTACAGCAATAATTACGTATCAATGTGGTTCCTTGGAATAATTTTTCGGAGAGTAGAGAATGCAGAAAGTGTTAACATAGACTTGACATATGATATACAGTCATTTACTGATACAGGTAAGACTTTGTCATCATAGAGCTATGGTTCTCAACCTTGGCTCTAATGCAGTATTATCTGCCTAGGATCTGGCTGGCTGAATTTTTAAAGTTCTACAGTTGGTTAAGTGAATATGATACATCCATTTTATGAAAATCTATGCTATTAAAGTGAAGGCATATTGAAACAATTTCCATGACATATTCAGTAGGAGGGGAAATTGCAGAACAGTGTGTATAGTGCACTACCATTTATATAAGTAAAGAATATATGCATGCTTGCTTAGAAATAGAATATTTCTGGAAGGACATATACTTTTAAAAAAGAAAACTAACAACTGGTTGCTTCTAGGTGTGTTCAGGGGACAGGGATGAGGAGACTTTATTGAATACCCTTGAACCCTTTGAGTTTTGTATCATGTGAATGTATTATCTGTTTTAAAACAGAAAGAAGGTTAAAGAAACTCTACAGGTGATTCTCAGTGTGCACAGCCAGGGCTTGTAATCACAGTCATAAAAATGACTTGATTTTTACTTTTTTTTTTTACATAAAATATATATTAGTCAATGCAGGGTTGCTAAATGTTTCACAGTTATTCAAGTGTGTCTTTCACATTAAGCTCCCTAATAACACCTCTCTGGAATATCTTAATATATCTGTTATAAATTTGGAGTTGTCTTAATCTGGAATAGTGTACATTCATACTATCAATATTCTTGATTTGACTTCTCTGAGATTTCCAAATTCTTTTGAACTAGGCCTCACGTTTATCATGAAAGTGCACATTCCTCATATCACCTTAGTACTACTGAATCACAACTCTGGGAATGGAGCCAGAGAATCTGCGAGTTGAAAAGCACTTCTGGTGATTCTTTTATCAGCCATCTGGAATGAAAACAGATAAAATTTTTCCATTCTAATTTGAGCTCAATTTTCAAAAATGAAGAGCTTGGGAAACTTTATTATAAATTTATAAAATGTTCTCTAGGTAGAAATACTGAAACCCCAAGAGATAAAATGATTTACCATATTTCACAATAGTTACCATGCAATAGAAGCCTTCCATCCCTGTCTTCAGAAAGTTTATAATGTAACTAGAGGCCCAGTGCACAAAATTTGTGCACTGGTAGTTTCCCTAGCTGCTGGCGGCGGCCGGCTGTGTACTCCCTCCCTTCCCCCAGCCAGCCCCGCCCCCTGGTCAAACTCCTGGAAGAACTCCTGGTGGGGGGGGACAATTTGCATACTACGCTTTTATTATATAGGATTGGCTAATCACAGTTAACATACATTACATTATGTGGTAATTAACAAAACTGGTTTTCTTGTAGGGTATGAAAAGCACCAGGGTGGGAATCTAGGGTTGTGTGTATTCTGATCCCAGCAAAGGTGTCCAGGGCTGACGAGCCTCATTTCCCCATCTGAATAATAAGGATGTACTTCTAGATGGTTTCTGACATTCCATGATTGGCGTAGTAAAAGAGCTTCCTGGAGGGGGAGAGCTTGGATTGCATCTTGGATATTTGGTATAAGGATTAGCTTAGACTTTGTAGTAATTTTGAGAAGAGATTTCCTTTTGGGAAAATAGCAGAAAACAAGATTTAAATAAAACCTTTTTTTCATATGTTTATATTGTTAATGAGATATTATTTGGAGAAAGTCTTAGAAGTTGGACATGAGAAAACCAGTTAGTATCTGATTAGGATTGTGACCTGGTGAAAATGTTTTAGAAATATTTGTTCTGTAAAAGGGGTTATTTGTGTTTGTGTAGTGATGAGTAGTATGAATTTCAGAAAAAGAAAACACTTCTTGGTTCAGAAAGAAGTTTCCATTTAACCTATTGATATTGTTACAGTGTACAGACAGGCAAACAATATAAACATGCTAAAGGAGGGAATGAAAATTGAAGCAACTCATGTTAAAAAAAAACAACTTCATCACTATCTTCCAGCAGAGATCCTTCAAAAGAAGAAAAAGGTGAGTTTGTAATTTTAACTCTCCAATATGGTTCCAGGGAACCACTTGATTTGCATTCTTACAGCTCCAAAACCCATTGAAAAGAAAGAGGAGCAGTATAGACAATTCAATCTAAGACCAAAATCTCACCTTCATTAATCACAAAAGATAATTTGTTTTATATGTATTTCAGAATTGAAAAGTCTCATTTGCTTTTTGAAATCCTAAAAACTTTCCCCCCCTTTCAGCAAAGTCTTTCTGATGTCAATCGTTCAAGTGGACCTCAATCCAAAAGATCATCTCTGGATAGCAATTGTTTGGATAGCTCTAGAGACACTGATAATGGAACACCTTTTAATTCTCCAGTGTCTACAAACAAACCTTCCAAGCCTGATAATTCTCCTTCAGGAGAAACAGAAAGGTCTGTATTTCAAAATTGTCCTTTCAGTCTTCAGTTTATTTGAGGATAATGTAAACTTTTCTATACCTTTTCTAAATACCTTTTAAAATTGTTAAATTATTTTATTTTTACCAGTTAGTTTAGAAATACTGGAGAATTTTTGATAATCTTATGGGACATGCTATTGGTTTATGAATATTTGGGACTAGGTTAGTACACAGAAATGCACATTTTTGAAATTTTTTTCTCTTAATTCTCACTAGGTCATCTGCCTTTTTCTCCCCTTTTCTCTTCTCAATGAAATATTAAAGTAGGAGTACTTGAAAGAAGTAATCCTAAAATGTTAAAAGTGTTTTTAAGTAAAATTTTAGTCATTTAGTGATGTTAATTTAACACTGTTAATAGGAATAACACTGAACCTGCTGCTGTGATTGTGGAAAAGCCATTGAGTGTTCCGCCAGCTCAAGGACTATCTATTCCAGTCATTGGTGCAAGTAGGTGTTTACACTTTTGCTAGTAATGATTCTACTACATATATATTTAATTACTACAGTCTTTCTTTTTTTCCTTTTCAGAAGTTGATTCTGTAGTAAAAGCTGTATCACCCCCAGCTGTGTGCACCATTCCTACTGTAGTAGGACGAAATGTTATTCCTAGGATCACAACACTCCACAACCCTATCCAGGGACAACCACATCTAAATGGGATGGCAAATATAACTAAAAATGTTGTGCCCAAAAGGTCCCATTCCCCATCTATAGATATGTCTTCAAAGAGATTAAAAGATATAGAAAAGGTAAAGTTGCAACTTTAGTGGTGATTCAGTAGTTGATTTTTTAAAAATTAACTTTAAGAGAGTACTAAAAAAATTTTGTAATTCTCCATAGCTATCTTAGTGTTCTATTATGATTTGACTATTCAAAAAGAATATTTACACTCACCCTAAAGGAACAATTCTAATTGTTCATCCTAAATTCAAATTATTAATGTACCTGAAAACTTGAATGATTAATATAAGTTTCTTCTTGACTTCCACAGAAGTCATTATTGGCAACTAAACAGTCATATTTGTGTGTTATAATGTAGATCTCCTCTGCCTCCAGTAGAGGGTGGTAAAACTATTTTGTTATAAACTGAATTGTTTTAACCAAAAGATCACTCAAACTAGAAATTAAGGGTGGTCGGTTGAATTCAGGCTAATATAAATTTTTATATGTTTGTAAGTAGTTTTGATGATAGCCTAATCACTAGTTTCTTAGTTTATATAGGTTTTTGTATATTTTTTGTAGGTAATAATAGCAATCATTTTAATGTTTATATTTTAGTTTATTCGACTTGAATCAAAGTTTAAGGAATCACGTGCTGCTGAAAACAGAAAAAGAAAATCAGTGGTAAATATATTATAATGGTGTGCTTCAAAATACTTTTAATGAGGCATGTATCAGGAAAAGTACTGTATTTGAAAGTGGGTCAGATTTATCTGTAGAGTTTTGTTATATTTTATTTCATGTAGAAATAAGCATTTGTATATAGGAGAGAAAGTTTACACTTGTATGTAATTCTTCTTTTTGTTTAGGATGCCATTGGGGGAGAATGTATGCCTATTCCAACTATTGATACTTCACGCAAAAAGGTAAAACAGTCTTACTGATAGGTGATATCAGTAGGTTAAAATGCATAGTTAATGTATAGGTACAAAAAGCTTATTAAGAGCTTACTTAGCACTGGGTGAAGGGAAAAGGTAATTAGATTTTGTCCCTGTCCTCAAAGACCAGCAGTATAGTTGAGAGTGGAAATAGCAAACAAGGTATATGATCCTAAATATATGTACCTCAAAAGTCTAAAAAAGACAAAGTAGTTTAAGACTTCATGATTTATTCATGTTATGTTCAACCTTTGCTTTTTACTTAACCTTTAAAGAAGTAGTTTAGTGCCCAGCATAGTAATTTCTTACCAACACTTGATAATATATCTTTTGTTCATACTAAGTTCTTAAAACATGAGCTAAAGAGCCTCTAAACTTCAATTAAAAATTTTTTTTTCAAAGAATACCATTTGAAACTAATAATGTAGTATAAGTAAGCATCGTAAACTGATAAGCAGGTCCTCAAAAGTCAGTCTTGTGTAAATCAGAGATAGTTCTTCTCTGAGAGTTTATAGTGAACAAAGAACAAAATGGCTCATTTTCACACGCACAATCCCCCATTAAAAAATACAGTGCTGCTTCTCAGTCAGCTGTCACCCTAGCAGGTTCTAAAGCAAAATGGAAAGTATCATCATGTTTTGTATTAGTTGTAGAATTTGTAAAATTGCTTTTAACATAAGAGTGGGTTACAAAAAATGTGGGTGTGATAATGGAAGAAAAAGCTTTGAAATGGATATTAAAGTATGAAAGCATGAAGTGACATGTCTGGGTTTTGCTTTAAAATATTTCATGTACAAAGGGTAAGAGCATAAACCAAACAAATGTGGCAAAATGTCTGAGTCTTGGCTATGGCATCTAAGCCTTCATTGTCCTATTTTCTACTTATATATATGCTTGAAATTGTTCATGTTATTTTGAGTGGATGTGGATATCAGATATTTGTTGAGCCAAGGTAACATGCGAGAAAATTTAACTCTTGCAATCATCTTTGACATGAAGCTAGCATACTGTTTCCATTACACAAGTGTCTGTATTTTAGGTGTCTTCATTTCTCAGTTCCTGGATAGATCTTCCAGACCATTATTTAATAATCTTTGCCTTCATTATTTAATAATCTTTAGTATTCTCAAAATCCCTAATATACATGTCCCTGAATTTCACCATCATTGAAGTTACCTTGCCTCACTATAAAGTCAGTTGTCCTGAAAACTTTAACAGTGCTACAGAAACCAATTGAGGGATATAACCGCGCATCAAATTTTTACACCTCACACCCCAAGAGTTTCCTATTTAGTGACCAAGCTCTTCTTATTTCTCTGTACCATTGCCTGACTTTGAGGAGGACTATGTTCTTTATGTATTTCTCAGTCTAGAAGTAGTGATTGATTTAACAAAGTCCTCTTTCATATACATCACACTCTTTGTACTTTTATCCTTCCTATCCCTCTGCTTTTCATCTCTTACTGTAAAAAAAAAAAAAGTCCCCCAAACAAGAAATGCTATGAACATTGGGATAAAATATTCAACACATACTTGAATGTTGATGAGATTAAGGATTTGGGAAAAACTCAGTTATGACTGATTTACTAGTTGGGCCTTACATTTGCTTTCCCTTCTTTGTTTCTGTTTCTTTCTATAGAGACTGCCCAGTAAAGAACTACCAGATTCATCATCTCCAGTTCCAGCAAATAACATTCGTGTCATCAAAAATTCTATTCGACTGACTCTTAATCGGTAAAAGCAGTGCCTCCTTATTTAGGTGAATATGCAATCATTAGTGATACAGATGCAGCCACTTTTTTAAAAATAGAAGTGGCTGTCATACATAAAATAAGGTGAAAGTTATAGTCATGGATCTGACAACCTTCAAGTGGTTTTTGAACTCTCACACTTTGATCTGCAGATGCTGTAGCATCCTCTCATTGATTGCTACATACACTTCTCTGAGGATCACGTGCTGTCAAATTGTCATCTATAATATTATGGCTTTGTGTTGGAGGTTTTACTGCCTTAACTTTTGATGCTTAATTCTCTACTATGGGAACCAGTTCTTGGCTCTTTGGACACTGATAAAACAAGTCCTGAACTCCCTCTCCCCCCTTTTTTTCCTTTTTTTTTTTTTTCCTTTTTTTTTTTTTTTTTTTTTTTTTTTTTTGGTCTTACGTTGTAATCATTGTATAAAATTGAAAAAGTTGAAAAAAAAAATTGTCTTGTAATTTCCCAAATGTTAACACATTTACTTTAGCGTTGAAACCACTTTGTGAAACATGAGATGAATGAATGTGAGGTATCTTTTCTGCTTTCCTCATTTGTGTAGATGTACTTAATGTCTTCTATTGATTTAAATTATTTTTTTCCAGATTGGCACATGGAATATTTAAAAAAAAAATTTGTGTGTGTGTGTGTGTGCCTTTCTGTCCAAATGTTCCATAGCTACCAGGGAGGATTAGTCTAGTGATTACATAAATTTTCTATATTTTGCCTCCCATGGAGGCCTTCAAAATGCATCTTTATCAAAATAGAACCAGGATACTAAAAATCAGTATATGAATGGTGAAATTGTTACATATCATATCTCATGCCATTCTTGTTAGCTGGCTGGTATTTTTTTACTGAGTAGCAACTCATTCCAGCATTAACATTAAGATACCTTTAAGTATGGCAAACTTGTAGTTTTGAGGTGTAAATTTAAAGTGGCATGATAATTCCTGACCATCACTTACCCCACAACTTCACACATTTTCTTCACAGACTAGGCATGCAGAAATAAGCAGTGGATTTTATTGGAACCCAAAGGCATTTTTGAATAACATTGTTACCAACCATTAATTGGCTCAGGACCTTTGTAATTTTTATTTAATTATATGAGTTGTCTTTTTTTACACTGCTTTTTTCAATGCATTTCGTAATATTTTTTAAGTTTCATGAACGCATGCTCAGTTTATTAAAATCCATAACCATGTAATTCTTGTAATATGTTGATTTAGTGTTTTGTAAATGAAGTCGTATGTATTTTCAGAGTATTTTTGTATGTACTGTAAGATACCATCTTTTCAAAGAGAAAACTTTAAAACCTTTATTGTCTCTCTAGTCTAATTTTTAAAATATGGATTATGCTTGAATTTTTCTTAAAATGAAAATGTATAGATTACACAGCAAGGAATGGCTGGTATATATTATTCAGCTTTCACTCCACATTCAGTAGGTCCAGTAGGAAAAACAAAATGGTACATTTGAATAATGCAGGGAGAATACTTGGTTGTGTATTTTATAGGACTTATGGGACAGCTTTTAGCCAATGGAGTAATAATAGTCCATTTTCTCTTGTGAGCCCTTTACCATTGATTGAAATACTTGAATTCTGGTCAAAGAACAGTATCCTTCTCCCACTCCTGTTCCATGACCCTTGTGTCCCTGAAATGAAAAGTCTAGTGTTTCACTTGTACAAAGGAAAACTTAAAAGTAAAGAAGATCAAGAAAAACAATCATTCTGTTATTCACTTTTGAGAAGAATGTATATTCTGCAGCTTTGGGGGGTGAAATGTTCTACAAATGTCAATTAAGACCATCTGTTCTCGTGTGTCATTTAGGGTCACTGTTTCCTTGTTGATTTTTTTTTTTTTGGTCTGGAAGATCTATCCAGGAAGTCAGTGGGGATGCTAAAGCCCTTTACTATGACTGCATTGCTGTCAATATCTCCCTTAAAGTCCTCCAAAAGTTTTTTTTAATAGAGTTAGGTGCTCCTATATTAGGTGCATATATGTTTACCAGGGTTATATCCTCTATTTGGATATTATGTAGTGATCTTCGTTGTCTCTTGTTTTGGCCTTCATTTTGAAGTCTGTTTTATCAGATATTAGTATTGCTACCCCAGCTTTCCTTCATTTCTATTTGCATGGAAAAATTTTTTCCCATCCCTTCACTTTTGTCCTGTGTGAGTCTTTTATTCTGATGTGGGTCACTTGTAGAGAGCATATATGTGGATCTTGTTTTCTTATCCATTCAGGTACCTATGTCTTCTGATTGGAGCATTTAATCCATTTACATTTAAGGTTATTATGAGATAGGTACTTATTTATTGCCCTTTTCTTTATGCATGTGTTTCTCTCTTTCTTATAGCAGTCCCTTTAATATTTCTTGCAATGCTAATTTGGTGATGATAAATTCCTTTTGCCTTTTTGGTCTGGGATGCTCCTTCACCATCTATTTTTAATGATAGCCTTGCTGAATAGAGTAGTCTTGGTTTCAGATCCTTGCTTTTCATTACCTTGAATATTTCTTGCCATTCCCTTCTGGCCTATAGTTTCTCTTGAGAAATCAGCTGACAGCCTTATGAGAGCTCCTTTGTAGGCAACAAATTGCTTTTCTTTTACTGCCTGTAAGATTCTGTGTCTTTAATTATGTGTCTGGGTGCGGACTCTTTGGGTTCTTCTTGCTTTGGACTCTGATTCTTTAACTTGTGTGACTTTTTCCTTCACTGGGTTTGGGAAGTTTTGTGCCATTATTTCTTCAAATAGGTTATCTATCCCTTGCTTATTTCTTCTGATACCTCTATGATATAGATATTGTTATGTATTATGGTGTCCCACAGCTCTCTTAAACTGTCCTCTGGTTTTTTTGTTTTTTCCTTCTGGTACTCTGAGTTTTTTCTACTCTATCTTCTAATTCATTGTTCTGATCCTCAGCTTGCTCTAATCTTGTGTTTATTCCTTCCATTGTATTCTTTATTTCTGCTATGTCATTCTTTATTTCTGACTAGTTGTTTTTCAAAGTTTCTATATCTTTTTTTATGCTGTTGAGCATCCTTACAGTCATTACTCTGAATTCTATATCTAATAAATTGTTTATCTCCATTTCATTTAGCTCTTCTCTTATTCTTTCATTTGCGGCTTCTTTGTCTCCCCATATTTCTTTTGGCTGCCTGTTTGGGTTTGTTTCTATATATCAGGTAGATCTGCTACAACTCCCAGGCTTGGTAGGTGGCCTTACGTAGTGGGTAACCTGTGGGATCCAGTGGCACAATCTCCCTGGTTACCAGATCTGGGTGTTCTAATGTTCCTTGTGCATGTTGCATGGACCGTCCTGTTTTAATTTAGCTTTGATTGCTATTGGCTCTTTAGTGCATGGGTTCAATCCTCAGGTTGGCTGACAATGAAGCTCAACCCCCAACACAGCGTGCAAGCTGCTGTGCAGTTACTTATCACACAAAGCGGAATTCTCTGCAGGGTTTGGAGCCTGCCAATATCTCTCGGTTGATATACTGCTTGTGGAGCTTATTAGAACCTACTTTGTTGTCAGAAAGCTGGCCACTGGGTTTATTGGTTTGGGGCTTCTTCAAATGGTCTCTGGTTCAGGCCAATGTCAGACACTGTTTGTGACGGGCCTTGAGTACCCTGTTTAGAGCTATCAATGATCCACAGCTTGTGGCTCCCTCTGCTGGGCAGGATGCATGGGGGAAGGACCAAGCTGTGCACCCAGGTCTGCTTTTCTTAGCCCAGGGCCCAAAGGCAGGTCAGGCAAAGAGTCAAAGCACCCAGAGATCCACCTGTATCTATAGGGTGATTGTTAGTCTCAGTCACTTAAAAAGCCTCAGACTGTAGAGCACAGCACAGCCTAAACCGTAGGGTGGGGTAAGAGGGTTTCTAACAGGTGGGGCAATTTCTTCCCCCCAGGCTAAGGCTGCAATGATGGGAAAGGTCTGCCTGAGATAGGTGGCTTCTGCAGCGTGGGGGAGTGACTCAGCACAGGGATCCCAGCGGCTGCCCTCTCTGCTCTCTTCCTGCTGAGTCACCAACTCCAGACTCTCCTCACACAGCTCTAGTCCACTCTGCCCTCCCACTGCTGGAGCCCCAGGTAAGTGGCTGCAAACGAAATTTAGTGTGTTGGCCCTTTAAGGGTGTGTCTGCATTTCTAGCTCTCTGTCCCTGCCCAACAGAACCCTGGTACTTTTCACAGCCAGATGTTATTTGGGCGCCTTTCCCAGTTCTGGTGCTCTGGGCCGGGGAGCCCAGTTTGGGCTTCCCCAGACTTCTCAGAGGGAAGCCCCCCACAACTGAGATATCCCTCCGGAACCTCAGCTGCTGCCTGTGGAGCCTAACCAGCCCCTCACACCTCTGCACCTCCTATCAGTGTTGATGTTGTCTCCTTTTTACATCTTTGGTTATAAGGGTTCTCTCCAGCTAATCTTCAGTTGGTTATTCAGGATGATTTTTTTTATATTTTAGTTGTAATTCCAATTTGGTCCTGGGAGAATGTCACTGTAACTTCCACGTAATCCACCGCCATCTTGGTATCTTCCCCCTTTAATTCACTTTTTATAGAGGAAAAGACAGGAATCGAATCCCACAACCAAGTTGTAGTTTCCTTAGCAAAGCAAAGCTGTTCTTTTAGCTGAACATTTTCTAAGTCACTGTCTTCCTTTTTAGTTTTCAGTGTCTTCACTTCCTGGCCTCGGAGTCAGCTTTCACATGGCGGGGCCCTGATTATGGCTGTGCTTCCCTCTCGAGTCTTTATATTTTCCACTGTTCCTCACTACATTCTCTGCATGCTGGTGCCAGTCCATATCTCTTTAAACTTCCACCTCGGTTTCTGTGTTCACCATTCTGACCACATCCTGCACTCGGCAGGTCAGTTTGGGGGATGGCCCACACACATCCCAAGTCCCACAGGTTGTGGCATATGGCCTCCAGCTTGGACTCCTCCCGTGCATGCAGTGCTCTTGGTCCCTCTCCCAGTCTTTGCCTTGGCTCTGGTGCTTTCCAAGTCATGCCCTCAGGCTTTGTCCCTCAGCTTCTCTCTTCCCCCATGGCTTCTCCTTGTCTCTGTCCCTGCAAGGATGATCCCTGGAGCTGTGGCTGGTCTCTGTCCCCCACCCTCTCTTTGTACTTGGCCTCCTTGTCTGGATCCCTAGAGTTCTGCTGCTTGGACTTTGAGACATCCATTTCCAAGTCCTTGTGTTTCTTACTTCCCCTGGGAGTGCCTGACTGCAGCCCAAAGGTGTTTTCTGAGGTTCTCCGCTTTCCGTGGATCAGCTTCGGTTCTTTTCTTGCTTAGGAAAGCTGTTTTCTTAGCTGAACTCTTTCCTTTATTTAAATATTTTTGTTTTTGAAACAATAAAAATTTCTATTTTTCAATATCTTACACAAATTTCCCAGGAGACCAAATTTTGCTTAAGGGCCTGAGTCCTGACTCTTTTGACGGTGTGAGGCAGTTGCAAAATCCACAAAAATTCCACAAATGGGCTCTGGAATTGTGTACATCAGTCTTTTCATTTTATGCATTAATGCATTTTGAATTTCTTTATCTCCTTTTTTTCTGGCTGAGGGAAGTTCTTCAATTCTCTCGATTCTGGCTCATTAGTGCGAACTAATCCTCTCCATCACAAACCTCAAAGTCATCTTCATGGTCTTCAAAATCATCTTCAAAATTGGCCGTGTAGTTGTCAGCTCAAACATTTTCTAAGTTGATGTCTTCCTTTTCAATTTCCACAGTCATCACTTCCCAGCCTTGGAGCCAGCTTCCACGTGGCGGGGCCCTCGTCGTAGCTGTACTTCCTTCTCAAGGCTTTATCTTTTCCATTATTCCTCACTACATCCTCTGCATGCTGGTGCCAGTCCCATATCTCTATGAAATTCCACCTCAGTTTCTTTGTTTACCATTCTGACTGCATCCTGCACTCAGGAAAGTCAGTTTGGAGGGTAGCGGCCTGAGCATATTCAGGCCCCACAGGTTGTGGTGCATGCCTGCCAGCTTGGGCTCTTCCCTCCACACGTGGTGCTCTCAGTCAGACTCTGGTCCCTCTCCCAGCCTTTGCCTCAGCTCTGGTGCTTCTCCAAGTTATGCTCTTGGGCCTTGTCCTTCAGCTTCCTTGTCCTGGTCATCCCTTCTTTTCCCCCATGGATTCTCCTTATCTCTGTCCCCATGAGGATGCTCTCTGGAGCTGTGGCCAATCTCTGTCCCCTGCCCTCTCTCTGCACTTGGCCTCCAGTCTGGGTCCCTGAGCTTCTGCTCCTTGTACTCTGGGATGTCTGTTTCCAAGTCCTTATGTAGTTTTTTTTTCCTTATGTTTCTTTTACCTTCCTTGGGAGTACCAACTATGCAGCCCTGAGGTCATCTGCTCTCCATGTATCATCTTTGGGTTTTCTCTTCCCAGGCTCCATCACCGCTTGCTGGCCCAGGAGGCCGCTCTGAGCTACGCACCCCGGGAGGAGAGGCCCGCAGCGTTATATCTTCCTGTATTCAAATATTTTGAGATTTGCTCTACCAATTCTCTATTTGAGTAAAGGTGAATGATTATGAAAGGACTAATTGTCACCTGACTTCAAACTGAAAAATTCTTTAGTAAGGGATTTGATTAAATTTTATATGTGATGTATTTGCATTTTTGTATTTAATATCTACCTATTCTCCCCTTCTATTATCAGTCTTCAAAGTCTCTTTAAGAATTCCCTGCACATCCATGTTTACCTTAGTATATAAACAGATTCTTTGGAGTGATTAGTGGAGTTTTTCTTTAATAAGAAAGCAATAAGCCTAAACCTTATACTATAGTGTAGTCATTTCTCTTGTTTTAAGGGTCCATTCAACATAGGGTTAAGACATAGTCAGTGGTTCAAGTTGGACTTCTCAAAGATAGCATTCTTCCACCTGTTTGGTAACTGGGAGTTGATGAAATGCTTTTAAGATGGTGGGTTTGGTCAAAAATGAAGTGTTTTTATCCAGAACAGTAGGTAGAATGTTCAGTACATTTTGTTACCATTGTAGGAATCTTCCATTGTACTGGTTCCAAGTAAGTATAAAGGTAAAGTATGATCTGGGAGTATATATTACGTTACGAGGGACTAAGTAAATGTGTTGGATTTCAGGTGTGAAACTATACTTAGAAATACTTTTTTTAAAAGTTAGAACTATCTACATACATAAAAGTCTAAGCGACCATCTGACCAGTAGCTATGACATGCAATGACCACCAGGGGGTAGACGCTCAATGCAGGAGCTGCCGAGCTGTGGTGACTTGGCAGCTGCAGTTCTCAGGTAACGCATCAGAACCAGAGAGGAGGGAGCCCGATTTTGGGGTGCATCCCCCGAGAACCACCTTCACAGTCCGGGACTCCTCAGGGGATGTTGGAGAGCCCGTTTCAGCCCAATCCCCGCAGGCCAGGCCAAGGGACCCCACCGGTGCACGAATGCGTGCACTGGGCCTCTAGTTCATTATGTAGACATGTTCATTTTCACAAGGGTTAAATTTTTTTAAATTTTATTTTGTTTAAAGTATTACAGATAGCAGTACATATGTCTCCTTTTTTTTCCCCCATTGACCTTCCCCTGGGCTCCTCTACCCTCCGGCACATGCCCTCACCCACCCCTTCCAGTGTTTTGTGTCCATTGGTTATGCTTATATACATGCATACAAGTCCTTCGGTTGATCTCTTACCTCCCCCTCCCCCAACACTCCCCACTTCCCACTGTAATTTTACAGTCTGTTCCATGCTTCTCTGCCTCTGTATCTCACAAGGGTTAAATTTTAATCTCATTTTTCAGTGACTGGTTCTGAAAATTAGTATATATCAAAGGAAAACAATTTTCTGCTAATTTACCCTTAGGAACAATTTGAGAGACAGGGTTTGTGGCTTAAAATCTTATAACATTGGAGCAGGAGAATGAATTTTAAAACACTACATTGGATCCCACTCCTGACACCAAAAAAAAATAAAAACATTAAAAAAAAATAAAACACTACATTGGTGCTTACAATAAGAATAACTGTCTTACAGCAGCAATTTAGTAACATTAAAATGCTTACTCTAGCAGAAGCAGTAAAGTGAAGCTGGGCTAAGATTATTTTTTACTGTTCAACAGCTTTGAAATCAGAATTCCTAATGGGTGTCATGGACCATAGGGAATCCTTCGCAAATGTATATAAGAAGTTTTTATTTATATGCATTTTTCTGGGGGGAAATTCATAGCTTTCATCACCTTTTCAAAGTGGTTCATGACCCTAAAGAAAGGGGTGGGGGACCACAGCTATCCAGAATTGAATAATCCCGGACTCAGGGGAATTTTTTCCCATAAGATTTTTCTGTGGTATATTTCCGAAAATGTACTATGGCTCCTAACTAGTAAAGTGGGCTGATGGAGGATGCTGAAACACCAAATTTCTCTCCAGGTTTCTTTATATATTTCAGATGAAACTTCTTCAGTACTTAGAAAAATGCTTCCTATTGCATTTATAAATGTCTTCATGTTAATTTAGATTCATCAACGGGGTCAAACTTTAGTTCAACAAATTTCAACCTAAGATCAGAGTAGAATAGCTTATAATGGCCATTAGAAATGGTAAAAAGTAGTTAATCATTAAAGATCCTAATCCTTATGATTTAAAGTATCATTAAAGTTCTCTTGTTCTTCTGTGTTTGTGGTTCAGACTAGAACGTATACTGAACAGACCAATAGAACTTTAGTTTAAAAAATATTTTTTATAAATAAAATTGTATTTAAATAAATAACTGCCTATTAAATCTTCCAAAGTTTAGAATTTAGGTCATAATGATAGTGATAAAAAGCGCAGATGATGGGAGAAAAAACCAATCTCAATAATGGTAACTATGTATTTCCTTGGAATTTTTTCAGAAGAATTATACAAGGTCATATCCTTCCCAAATTTCCTATTTTTTCTGAAATAATTTCTGAAGTTAGTCGAACATAAGATTATTATTAGACTTGCTATAATTTTTAAGCTATTACTACATTTTAGCAAAGATCCACATAATTACTTTATAAACTGCTTAGGATATCTTTGAGGTAAATGGTGCTACATCAATCATTCCACAGTGTTAAGTAAAATGAATGCAGCTGTGTGTGTAATTCATTTTAATTTTTCCTGCCTTTTATTTGGATTGTCTTATTTCTTAGTTGTACGCATGAGCCTCATTTGTCTGAAATAAGTAATCAAATAAACTTGCTTTGATAAATAGGTGTTTATGATTGATATTACTTGGGAGTAATTTTATTTTTCAAACTGACAGCCAATTTGGTCATTTACCACTCAGAGTTTTTTGGGAAGATAATGATATCCACTACCTGCTTAATCTGAAAGTGAAATTCATACTCAATTTGCCTCATAAGAATCACTTATTAAATATTTGTTATCAAGCAATAGCATCTGCCTCATATATTGAGGGCAAAATTCTGTCAGCCTTGTGGTCAATATCAGGTGACCAGAGTCCTCTACTAATGGCTAGCCAGTGATGGCAAACCTATGACACGCGTGTCAGAGGTGACACGCAAACTCATTTTTTTGGTTGATTTTTCTTTGTTAAATGGCATTTAAATATATAAAATAAATATCAAAAATATAAGTCTTTGTTTTACTATGGTTGCAAATATCAAAAAAGTTCTATATGTGACACGGCACCAGAGTTAAAGTTAGGGTTTTTCAAAATGCTGACACGCCAAGCTCAAAAGGTTCGTCATCACTGGGCTAGACAGAAGTACATTTAGCATTCATACCTTTGGTACTGTCTACAGAGGAACATGTTACAGAGCTGGTTACATTCTTGTTTCTGAAGTGACTTTTTTTATAGCCAAACCACATATCTTGAATACTAATAGTACTGAATTCACAAGTAAGACCCTAAGTCTACATCATTAAGATTATTAGCAAGCCACTCATAGCACCAATGGAAACACGTTTGACATTTATTACGTTAATTAGCAGGGCCGCCTGAATCCATTGAGCAATGGATAACGGAAGGGCCCCTGGTACTCACTGGTGAAGCATGGTCTTCCAGATTGGATTGCCAGCTGACCATCCCTGGAGTGTGACTTTCTGATAAGGGCAACTCACTGATCCTAGGATATAACACAAATATCCCACTATGCTGAAATGTTTTCAAGTAAGTTGACATCATAAGTTCTTTGTGGATCCAAATGCATTAAAGTATTAAGGTCAAAATAGAATGTATTATAAATCACATTTTCTAAAACTATCAAGCCATAAGATCCAGCCAAACTTACTTATTAGTCCTTAAAAGGACAGGCTTCTAAACCCTGATGATTGATATATTGGGCCTAATGGTTGCACAAAGACTTCCATGTGAACTTGGTCAGAGTGATTCGGCCTACATTCCCTAACATGTTACTTGTACCTTTTAACATTTTAATTATTCTAACTCGTGTAATGTTCACTTTACCTATTTGTTTGCCCTGATGAGGTTGTAGATTTGAGAGTAGTAACCTTTATTCAAGAATCTTTATGTAGTCGAATGCCCAAAAAATGCTGAAAAAGGAAATGCATGAGTCCTGCTTGGTTGGTTGTTTTTGATCTTTTGGCTTTTGTTTGTTTTTATTTATTTGAATAGGATTATCTAGAAGAGAGGCCTGATGAAAGAACTAAGATGCAGAGGCAAACAAAACTTAGTGAAAATCATTAAGACATGTTTTTCAAACTTTTCCAACTGTAACACTGAGTAAGAAATACATTGCAAGTCAGCACATGTATATACACATAAATGAAAATATTTGTACATATAATTTATATAATCAAAACAAGTTTCACAAACACTGCTTTCCTGACTATGTGTAATACAGGTTGATACTTTGTTTTATTACTTTTTCAGTGCTAGTTGTGATTTAACAAAGGTGTTTTCACAACCTCTCCTGAGTCATGACCTACACTTTTGAAATACATTGCATTAGAAGTTCTTTTCCCAAAAATTCATCTCAAAGTTCTTCCCCCAAAAGTTCATCTCAAAACCTGGATTATCTTTTCTTTATTCAGTCTGTTCTAGAATGCAAACTGGTACAGGAAATAGTACCAGAAAGGATAGTATGAGGCATGTGGAAGAAGTAGATGATAAAGGATATATAGATGTTCCTTTCTCCTAAGGAAAAATATTACCAGGAAACTTACATCTTTGCATCAGTTGGTAATTTTTAAAAATGTAAAAGCCAAAAATTAGCAAAGAGCAAGACTTAGGACATTTAGATGGTATTTATTTTAGTATAGGTCACTTGACCTCTGCTGGCCAAGGGATGTCATCAATCCCTGAAGGGTAGACGAAGTAAACTAGAATGACAGACATCTTATTAACCAAGAGCCACTCACTGTGAGATACATAAGTTGCTCACTCAGAGAATTCTATTGTACACGGCTCCCATATAATATCCCAGGAACTCAAGTATACTAGAGAATTGAGGTCCAATAGTAAAAGTATTATCTCCCCTTGGCCAGTGTGGCTCAGAGGTTGGGGCATCGTCCTGAGCACTGAGAAGTCACAGATTTGATTCTCAGTCAAGAGCATGTACCTGAGTTGCTATTCACTCCCCAGCCTCCCACCCCCGTGTGTGCTCAAGAGGCAACCAGTTAATGTGTCTCTCCCTACCAACTTCCTTTCACTCTCTGAAAAGCAATGGAAAAAATGTCCTCAGGTGAAGTTAACAAAAAAAAAGTATTACTATCTCCTGAGAAATTCTAGATCATAATTATAAAAATGTTT